GCCTCCTAAGTAGCTGGGATTACAGGTGCCTGCCACCATGCCTGGCTAATTGTTTGTATTTTTAGTAGAGACAGGGTTCCACTATGTTGGCCAGGCTGGTCTCGAACTCCTGACCTGGTGATCCGCCCACCTCGGCTTCCCAAAGTTCTATGGTTACAGGTGTGAGCCACTGTGCCTGGCCATAATTGTACATTTTAAAATAAGTAAAAGTGTAAAATTTGATTGTCTGTAATACAAAGGATAAATGCTAGAGGTGATGGATACATTTATCATGTGATTATGTATTTATGTATCAAAATATGCCATATATGGCATAAGTATATATACTCATATACCCACAAAAATTAAGAACAACAAATTTAATTTGATTAAAATAAGGATAAATATTTATCCAACAGGAATAATATTCTTTAACTTATCTACACTTTAAAGCCACTGGCAAGAGATTAACATGTTTAAAATGTTGAAACCATTAACTTCACACATGATGTAAAATTTTTAAAATGTACTGCATTTTAATATATAAAAGTACGACTAGAACAATACTAGTTTTCTTATAATGCAAAAGAATATTATTCTTAACACCTACCTCATACATCACTCGAGTATAAGTTAACCACAGAGAACCTCTCCACTTTTTCATCACGCATCTTACATTCTAATGTCCTTACTTGTCCACAGAAAAGATCATAAATAATGCCCACGAATGGAAAAGAATCTCTCCTACCTTTGATGCAGCAACAACTGATCACATGCTTTCACAAGTGAATAAGAATGAAGAAACAGCAGAAAATAGAGTGTTGAATTACATCATTTGCTTTCAAAGTCTAATTTTTTCAAGAAATAAAGTACACTTTGAAAGTAGTTATTACTCTGCAAAAAACTTTTACTCCTCTTAAAGTTATATACAAATACTTTTTCTACCAACTTTAGTTTTAGATTATTTTCTATACTCAGAACTCTTAGTATATCCAAAGTGTCAGTTCCTCGTATATTTCTATTATAGATTCTCTAATATTTACATAGCCCTAATTTGGATTAAATATTTTTTTATTTTTACTGCATCTTCAAAAATATACTTCAGTATAAACTGGTGTTTTCTAAGATGTCATGTTTGAAAAGTGTTTTTCCAAATTTATTACATTTGCAACCACTTTTCCAATATAAATGCCTTGATGTTGAACAAAGCTTGAGCAACTGCTTCAGAGCTTTCCTCTAGTACAAAATGTGTACAATAAAATCTGATTCAAGTAAAGGTACTACAACCCTCTTTGTAATGTCCATCTTCAATATACTCTTCTTCACTTTAAAGGCTTATATTTTTCTGAAAGATCTTTTGACACTAATTGCCCTTATCTTGCTTTTATTTAAGTATGAACTCTCTGGTGTTAAGATATAAGCAGACATTAACGTCTTTTTTGCAGCCTATATTTGTATAATTTTTCTCAAATATAAATGCTTTCTGTGCAATAAGGTGGTTAAAAGCTTTGCCACATTGTTCTCACTTGTAGGAATTTTTCCCAGTATGAATTATTTTACATCTAATCAAGTAAGGCAGGGAGTGATGGCTCGTGCCTGTAATCTCAACACTTTGGGAGGCCCGAGGTGGGCGGATCACCTGAGGTAAGGAGTTCAAGACCAGCCTGGGAAAGATGGTGAAACCCCGTCTCTACTAAAAGTACAAAAATTAGCAGGGCATGGTGGCAGATGCCTGTAATCCCAGCTACTTGGGAGGCTGAGGTAGGAGAATTGCTTGAACCCGGGAGGCAGAGGTTGCAGTGAGCCAACATCACGCCACTGCACACCAGCCTGGGGGACAAGAGTGAGACTACATCTCAAAAAAAAGAAGAAAAAAATCAAGTATGACAACCATTTAAAGACATTGTCACATTCTTCACATTTCTAGGATTTCTCACCAATATGATTTTCTTTATGGTTAGAAAAGTTTGAGGTGTTGTCAAAAGCATTATTGCATCTTTCTGGTTTGTGGAGTTTCTCTCCAGTATGAATTATCTTATGTATGTTAAGATCTGAGGACTAGTGGCTGGGCGTGGTGGCTCATGCCTGTAATCCCAGCATTTTGGGAGGCTGCAGCAAGCAGATCATAAGGTTAGCAGTTCGAGACCAGCCTGATCAACATGGAGCAACCCTATCTCCACTAAACATAAAAAATTAGACAGGTATGGTGGCACATGCCTGTAATCCCAGCTACCCGGGAGGCTGAGGCAGGAGAATCACTTACATCTGGGAGACAGAGGTTGCAGTGAGCTGAGATTGCACCATTGTATTGCAGCCTCGGCAATGAGAGTTAAACTCCATCTCAAATAATAATAATAATAATAATAATAACAGGACTAGTTAAAGCTTTTGCCATATTTTTCACACTCATAAGGTTAATCTCCAGTATAATTTCCTTATGTTTAGTAAGAGTTGAGGACTGGCTAAAGGCTTTGTCACATTCTTCACATTTGTAGGGTTTCTCTTCTGTATGAATTATTTTGTTCAAAAAAGTTTGAGGACTGGTTAAAAGCTTTGCCACATTCTTCACAGTTGTAAAGTTTCTCTCCAGTATGAATTATGTTATGTTTAGTGGGACCTGAGGACTGGATAAAGGCTTTACCACATCCTTCACATTTCTAAGATTTTTCTCCAGTATGAGTTATCTTATGTTTAGTAAGGTCTGAGAATTGGTTAAAAGCTTTGCCACATTTGCAGAATTTCTCTCCAGCATTAATTATTTTATGTGTAGTAAGGGTTGAGGATTAGTTAAAAGGTTTGCTACATTTTTCACATTTGTAGGGCTTCTCTACAGTATAAATTATCTTATGTGCAGAAAGTTGAGGAGACCATTAAAGACTTTGCCACATTCCTCATATTTTTAGGTTTTCTCTCCAGTATGAATTATCTTGTTTAGTAATGGATGAGGATTTCTTAAAAGCTTTGCCACATTATTCACATTTGTATAATTTCTCTCCTGTAGGATTTTATGTTTAATAAGGTACAAGAATCTATAAAAAATTTTGAGACATTCTTCATATGTGCAGGGTTTCTCTCCAGCATGAATTACCTTGTGTCATCAGGGTTGAGAAGTGGTTAAAAGCTTTGTCACATTCTTCACATTTGTAGGATTTCTCTCTGGTATGAATTCTCTTTAGTAAGTGTTGAGGACCAAATAAAGCCTTTGCACACATTCTTCACATTTTTAGAATTTCTCTCCAGAATGAATTATCTTATGTTTAGTAAAGTGTAAGAATCAATAAAAACCTTTTCCACATTCTTCACATTTGTAGGCTTTCTCTCCAGTATGAATTATCTTATGTGTAGTAAGGCGTGAGTACCAGTTAAAAGCTTTCTCACATTCTTCACATTTGTAGGGTTTCCTTCCAGTACGATTTCTCTTATGTGTAGTAAGGTGTGAGGACTGGTTAAGAGCTTTCTCACGTTCTTCACATTTGCATGGTTTCTCTCTAGGATGAACTTTTTTTTTTTTTTTTTTAGATAGAGTCTCTCTCTGCCCTCCAGGCTGGAGTGCAGTGGAGCAATCTCAGCTCACTGCAACCTCCATCTCCCAGGTTCAAGCAATTCTCCCACCTTGGCCTCCAGAGCAGCTGGGACTACAGGTGTGCACCACTACATCTGGCTAAGTTTTTGTATTTTTAGTAGAGACGGGGTTTCGCCATATTGGCCAGGCTGGTCTCAAACTTCTGATCAGGTGATCTGCCCGCCTCAGCCTCCCAAAGTGCTGGGATTACAGGCATGAGCCACCACACCCAAACTCTTTTTTATCTTTAGTAAGTGTAGGGTCTAGTCCCATAGGATTGTTGGGTTTTTCTCCCTGTGTGCAGAGATGAGCAATTGTAGAAATAAATACACAAGACAAAGAGATTTAAAAAAAAAAAAAAAAAAGACAGCTGGGCCTGGGAGACCACTACCACCAAGACACAGAGACCTGTAGTGGCCCCAAATGCCTGGCTGCACTGTTATTTATTGGATACAAGGTGAAAGGGGCAGGGTAAGGAGTGCTAGTCATCTCCAATGATTGACAAGGTCACATGAGTCATGTGTCCACTGGACAGGGTCCTTCCCTGTTTGGCAGCTGAGGCAGAGAGCAGACAGAGAGAGACAGACAGAGAGAGAGAGAGAGAGAGAGAGAGAGAGAACACAGCCCATGCCGTTATTTCTTTGTAGCAGAGGTTTTGCTACTGCTATCTAGAAGGCAGAGCCAGGTGTACATGATGGAACATGAAAGCAGACTAGGAGAGTGACCACTGAAGCACAGCATCACAGGGAGATGGTTAGGCCTCTGGATAACTGTGGGCAGGCCCAGTGGAGTAGTCTTCTCTAAACTCCCCTGGGAAAGGGGGACTCCCTTTCACGGTCTGCTAAGTAGCAGGTGCTTTTCCTTGGCACTGACACTACCGCTAGACCATGGTCCGCTTGGTGAAGGGCATCTTCCCAGACACTAGTGTTACTGCTAGACCAAGGAGCCCTCTAGTGGCCCTGTCTGGGCATGACCGAGGACTCACACTTGTCTTCTGGTAACTTCTCGCTACGTTCCCTCAACTCCTATATCCATATGGCCTGGTTTTTCCTAGGTTTATGATTATAGAGCAAGGATTATTATAATATTGGAATAAAGAGTAATTGCTACAAACTAATGATTAATGATATTCACATATAATCATATCTATTATCTACATCTAGCATAACTATTCTTATTTTATATATTTTATTATACTGGAACAATTCGTGCCCTCAGTCTCTCGCCTGAGCACCTGGGTGGGTTGCTGCCCACAAGTAAGGGTAGAGGACCAGTTAAAGCCTTTGCCACATTCTTCACATTTGTAGAATTTCTCTTCCGTATGAATTCTCCTGTGTAGTGGTATGAGTACCGGTGATAAGGTTTGCCACATTTTTCACATTTGTAATGTTATTCTCCAATATGAGTTATCTTATGTATAGTAAGGGTTGAAGATTGGTTAAAAGCTTTGCCACATTCTTCACATTTGTAGGGTGTCTCTCCAGTATGAATTCTCTTATGTTTAGTAAGGTTTGAGGACCAGTTATAAGCTTTGCCACATTCTTCACATTTGTACGGTTTCTCTCCAGTATGAACTCTCTTATGTCTAGTAAGAGTTGAGGACTGGTTAAAAGCTTTTCCACATTCTTCACATTTGTAGGGTTTTTCTCCAGTATGAATTATCTTATGATTAGTAAGGTTTGAGGACTTTTTAAAAGCTTTGCCACATTCTTCACATTTGTAGGGTTTCTCTCCAGTATGAATTATCTTATGCACAGTAAGGTTTGAAGACTGGTTGAAGGCTTTGCCACATTCTTCACATTTGTAGGGTTTCTCTCCAGTATGAATTATCTTATGTCTAGTAACTTGTGAGGAACAGTTAAAAGCTTTGCCACATTCTTCATGTTTGTAGGGTCTCTCTCCAGTATGAATCATCTTATGTGTAGCAAGGTATGAGAATTGGTAGAAAGCTTTGCCACATTCTAAACATTTGTAGGGTTTCTCTCCATTATGAATTCTCTTATGTTTAGTAAGGGTTGAGAATACATTAAAGGCTTTGCCACATTCTTCACACTTGTAGGGTCTCTCTCCAGTATGAATTATCTTATGTTTAGTAAGAGTTGAGAATACACTGAAGGCTTTGCCACATTCTTCACATTTGTAGGGTTTCTCACCAGTATGAATTCTCCTATGTATAGTAAGGCGTGAGTACCAGTTAAAAGCTTTGCCACATTCCTCACATTTGTAGCGTTTCTCTACAGTATGAATCATCTTATGTGTAGTAAGGT